GCACCTTGGAGATGAAGGCCGACTGGCCGCCCGCCTCCTGCGGGGACACCCCGGCCGCCGCCGCCGCGGCAGCCGCCGAGTTGGAGAAGAGGCCGCCGTAGTCGCTGCTGAAGGCGGACGACGTGGGCGACGTGGAGGCCAGGCAGAAGGCGCTGTTGGCTGCGCCCGAGCCGCCCGCCAGGCCGCCTGAGCCGCGGCCGCCGGTGGCCACGGCGAAGCCGGAGAGGCTGGAGCCGAGGTTGCAGCTGGACGAGGAGCGCTTCCAGGGGTGGAAGCCGCCTTTGGCGAAGGCGCTCGACTCGGGCAGCGTGGTCAGCGGGCTAGTGTTGCCGATCTTGTTGCAGGTCGCCGCCAGCATGGCCAACGGGGTCGTTCCAAAGCGCGGCTCTTCCTAGAGTGGGTGGGGTGGGAGAGGGAGAGAGGAGGAGGAGGACAGGAGGAAGCGGGGGAAAGACAAAGTGCACCCGTGAGCAGCCTCATCCCCCCGCGGCTGGTCCCGGAGGGCCGTGACTCCCCGGCTCGCGCCTCCTCCCCACGCGCTAGCGGAGGGTGCGCCGCGCCTGGCGCGGGGCAGAGGCGACCACAAGGGCGAAGGTCCTGGCGCTGGAAAGTTTTTCTTCTGTGGGGCTACAAGTCAAAGATGCCTCCGTGTTCCCCCTTCTCAGTCGCTGCACCCCTCGCCTAGAATCGGACTTGGATTGTCGCCATAAGCCCGCTCCTCTCCCGGGACCCGAAGTCGCTCTTTGGTGTGAAGCCCGAAAGTAAACACATAGACAACAAACACCAGGTGAGGGTGGAGGCGGCCGAAACAGCAACCCAGGGACAGGCCAAACTTGGAACACTCCTCCCCAGGGCTACGACTTGACTTTTCTTTTTTAATAGAAAACGTTGGTTTTACTGTTTACACACACACACACACACACCAATTATGAAAACAATACTCCGAGGGTAAGCGGCCCAGCGACGGATTTCAAAGTCACGGGCGAACTGGAGAGCTACGGAAATGTAGTTTATTAGCGTGACTACATGGACTGCAAAACGATTGTCTGTTTTCTAGAAACACCACTGTCGGGTGATTGCAACGATCCCCAAAGTAAAGGAGGATGGGGGTATAAATCACGACAAAAGGAAAAAAACCTCTAGCTTTCCTTTAAAACCGAATAAAAAGGGGCTTAGGTAAGAAATTCTCTTTTTTTCCAAAGGCATCTCATGAGTCACCAAAACTTGGAAAGAATCGGTCCCGGAAATGTTGAAAGTGCTAAAAGAAGCTGAAGCTGCAGTCCAGCAGCAACAGTTTCTCCGGAGCCGCGGACCCCGAGAAGCCATGACGAAAAATGACTCTGGTTAGAACAAGCAAATATGTTGCCGAGCTTGCGACTTACCCCGAGTATAGACGTGGCCATAGCAGGTCTCTGGATTGCGCGGCGCGGCCGGGAGCGGGGCTGAGCCTGGCGGCTGCTCAGAAAAACTGCTCGGGTCCCGCGCGGCTCCCGCGTCTCCGCGCTCGCGCCGAGCGGACTCCGGGCTCCCGCCGGCTAAACTCAGCCTAAGTGCGAGGAGCACCCGCTTTGAAGTGCCGCTGGCTGCGCCTCTCACCCAATGAGGGCGCAGGCAGCGCAGACGGGAGCTGCCCCGCAGCCAATCAGACGCGCCGAGGGGCCCTAGCCCGGGCTCCCGGCGCGTGCCAGTCAAGTCTGCTGGCAAGGGCGGGCTGTGGTGGGGGGCGCGGGCTCGGGACTGAAGAAATTACAGTGCAATTAAAAATTTACGCACACTCACGCACCAAGCCAGGTTTAAGTACCGTTGAGACCGAGCCACAAGCTCCCTCCTCCTCCAACCACCCCAAGACAGTCCAGTGTTAGGGCTGACAGCCCTACAGTGGAGTAGGGCTCCCTACTTGTGCGAAAGGAAGCAGGAGTGGAGGGGGCACCAAGGCGGAGGCGGCACCAACAGGGCCCAGGTGGAGACAGAAATGCCAACGCTCACTTTGTGTGTCCAGGCTCTTGGCTGCGGCGTACAACTTCAGCTTGTATCCATCATTTTCGCTTGCGATTTTATCATTGTTGCTTGTCTTCTATCCAGTTTCTTATTCCCGCTGGATCCAGTTTTACTCCCAGAGTCACACTGAGGAGGGGGCGCGAATGGACAGCTCCTCCAAAAGGACATAGATCTCTCCCTACAGGTCTACACCCACAGACTTGTTGGGAGGGCCTGGAGCCTGCTGCATCCCACCATTTCCCCCCAGCGGTCTACTTAGACTTCCTAATTGTCGCTCTGGCCTCTGACCCGGGGGGTAATACAAGTGCCACTCACGCCAGAGCTTCTGGTGGTAATTGAGGGCACCCTTTGTATGGTTTTGCCAGAGCCTAGATACCAGGTTAACCCAGTTGTCAAATATGACTAAACAGTGGGAGGTGCTGATTATCTGCCGGGTTTTGCTGGGGGCTGGCGTGGGGGTGGGAGGCATCAGCCCATACAACACGCTGCACGAAGCCGCTTATTTTCACATTGTAACAACTTTGGAAACAGAGACCAGCGCGAGCGACATCCGCCCCCACTGCCACCCCCGCTGAAGCTGCAGCTTGCTCTGCTGTTTGTTTAACCCGGCGAAGACTTGCATGTCGTGTTTCAGCCTGGAGTCGAGGTTTTTGGCCCCAGTTACAACCCACCCCCACTCCAGACCGCCAGGGCCTAGAGACTCCTCTACAGGGCAAGGGCACCCTGTTAAGAGGCGCCGTGCCTTAGCGGACTTGCCGGAGGAGCCTCTCCCGGACCTTCACCCGCGAGTGCGGAGCACGAGGTCGCACGTGGGATCTTCCACATTTTTCAGGCTGGAAGCATCCTGAAGTCCTCCCGGGACCTGTCCGTGTGAAAAGAGGTGTGCGCGTCCTCGACTCCCACTGCAAACCTTGAGCTGTTTGTTTTTCTTTTTGGTCTCCCTTTTCTCTTTCTTCTCCAAGGTAGCCCAGGGGCTGCTTTTGAACCAGAAATACTAACGCCCTTGGGCAAACATGGGTCCTGGTTTTAATGCAGCACATTCCCCTCCAAACCCACAAACAGCTTTCGGGGTTTTTTGTTTGGTTTTTGTTTTTGTTTTTTTGTAATAAATAATTTTTTTAACCACCAGCCCCAAATGCTTGGGTGCAAAAGACGAGACCCTTGGGCAAACATGGGCCCTGGTTTTAATGCAGCACATTCCCCTCCAAACCCACAAACAGCTTTCGGGGTTTTTTGTTTGGTTTTTGTTTTTGTTTTTTTTGTAATAAATAATTTTTTTAACCACCAGCCCCAAATGCTTGGGTGCAAAAGACGAGTTGTCGCGGAGGGGGAGCAAATGAGGATGCGGAACTGTGTCTCCAGTGTTTTCTCTCTTTTGCGAGATCTGTTGGCCCAAAAGTACGACCACCGTGGTGCTTCTCTCGTCCCTAACATGGAGCCTGCGTGCATCCTGGTGCACTCCATGGGAGGGGAGGGCTACGGGGGTCGTCGCTTTCTTTGCTTTTTGTTAGAATATCTCTGCTCAGACTGCTTTTTTTGGCTTAAGGTGACGAACGCACCAAGGAAATTGTGACAGAGAAAGAGAAAGCAGAGAGAAGAGAGCGAGAAGACCCACGCAGCTATAAATGAAGCACCGTGCCCTGGAGGACTGTGGTGGGGGAAATCCGGGGGGAAGGGGGCCGGGGTTGAAAAGTCCCCAGGGGACGAAGGGTGGAGGGTTGACGGGAAAATCAGGCCTTCTGGAAGAGCGAGAAAGCCCGGCAGGGGGAACCGGGAGCCGTTCCCAACAGGTGACTTCTGCCCTGGAAGGGGAGACTGGTCCTCAGCTTCCTGTAGTCTCCGCGTCGATTTACTAATAGAGGGATTGTTAAGTGGCAGCGAGGCGTTTCCAACTCACTCTGTGCAGCCCCGGAGGAGAGGCGCCGAGGTTTACCCTGTCCACCTCCTCCCCCACCCCCAACACTCCTTCGCCTTAAGGAAACCTGACAAAGTAATAAGACAGTACGAAAAGCCACTTAGCACTGGTGACACTTTCAAGCCGACCATTTAAAACAGTTCCTGCAGGCACCTCGGGCTACCCGCGCCCTGCTTGCCGCCTTCTACTAGCCCTCCCCTCCCCTCGCCCGCGCTCCCCTGCCCCTCCCCCTCCCACCGTTCTCCACCTAGTTCCAGCTGTCAGACTCTTGTGTGCTCTCGGATGTTCCTTTAGATACACGCGTCCACATCACAATAAAAGTTGGAAAAATCTTCCAAACCAACGCAGGCAAATACTCGGGCCACTTCAACTCTAAAGTGGGGCCCCAAGGAAATCTTTCCGAAGAAGTCCAGGATTTTTTTCGTCTGACGGATTTTTTTCATCCTCTAAAAAATCTAGTTTTTAAACAAAGATCAACGTGTTATGCTAAAGTGTTGAGCTGACTGTTAAAACATTTGGGGAAATAATGACAATGTAACAAAGGCCTGGTTTGGAGTGAATCGTCACCCTTTTAAAAGTTAAAGCAATTTTCAGGAGAATAGCTTTCAGCAAACGCTTTACATTATTCAAAACGGCCAAATAATGCTCTATTATAGCGCCTGAATGCTGCCAGTCAGCTCCTAAGTGCAATTTGTGCAAAGGCCCCGGTGCCTTATCTCCACTTCTTTATAAAGAGGTGAATATAAAACAATTTCTTCCAAACCCAGACAGAGAGCACGAAAATTGCTTCCCTTTCTGCAATCAGGGCAATTTAACTGGAGTGCAATTAGCACTATTAAATGTCGATTCTGCATAAACAAATCTGACTGAGCAGCGAAAGTGGGGTGAGAACCTCATATACACTGAAACTGATTTTTTAAAATTATGTATCCGGGTCCTTTACAATTGATCCGTGACGTTTTCATCTTGGAATATATTTACATCGTAAATACATAATTTTTTTCAAAAAAAATCAATACGAATCCTAATAAAGAAAAATAGGGTAATTAAAAGGAAGAGTTCACTTCCTTCGAACAAATATTGTTTCTCCCATCTTGCCTCTCCCGAGAGCTTTGATCTGAGTAACTGCTCAAGTTGCTGTGTTTAGAAGGCAGAGCTGGGGAAACAATTCAATCATTAGCGCTGATCGGAAGGATTGGAGCTCCTATGCCACAGATAAAATGCCTCTCTCTGATGCACAGGAAGTAGGATGGAGACCGGGAGGGCCGGTTATATTCCGAATAACTCGATATGGTAGCTGGTTAAATATTAGGTGGCTGCCCAGTCTCCCAGGAGCTTCGACCAGGCGCAGAGTTCAGCAGCGAATATACGGAACTGCGGTGGGATGAGGATGCAAGCGGGAGGGGAGGCGTTGGGGGAGGAGAAACCGAAGATTCTCGCCTTGGCTGGGCTGGCTGCAGTCAAAGCCTTGGCCACCAGGACCGGGATGCATGAGGCGGGGGTGGGGCAAAGAGTGGGGAGAGGGAGAAGAGGCTGTAAAAAACGTTTATCTGACCTGTCCTCCCATCTGCCTTTATTTATTTATTTGCTAAGCCACAGCGCTCCCTTTTTGAATCATTTGCGCAATTAATTATGCTTTTCATTTGCATGATCTACACTAGAGTAGTGATTATCAGGTCAGCACGGTGTGGGAGTTGGGAAGATACATTAATAACTTGAGTTAAAAAAAAAAAAAAAGCTGCCCGTGTATACCAGCGTTGTCTGCCCTGAGCAAGGGTGAAGGAAGCCCGGTATGGTCCGCAGCGCCTGTGGAGTCGGGTGAATCCTTTCTGCGGCTGGAGTTTGTCAGTTGTGGGTGAAAATGAAATGCAGCCTTTGATTAGAAGGGAATCTTTTATAGTTAACACATACTTATATTTTTAAAAGCATCAGTGTTGAGATCAAATGGATGGAGAAAATTAATTGAAAACTGAGGAACTCTCCCACAATTTCTCAATTTCTGTTGAGCTTTCATTTAATATTTATTTTATAATACCCTCATTCCAGCCCAACCCATGTAAATAAGAGAGCCAAAAAGAATCAATAGGCCAATGGGACTATTTTTTTTCTTCCCTATCTCAGAGGTGTCACTGCTATTTAGAGGTGGTAGGAGATGCAAATCTTTGTTGCCACGCTGTAAATTCTGCTGGAGAAATTCCAAACCCCTGGTCTATTAAGTACAATCTGAATGTTTGCCACACAACTAATTTTCTACTGCTAGTTGTATTTGGGCCGTATACTTTAAGCTTGCCTCAATCTGTTTACCTGAGCCCCAAACACATTAACAGTTAAAGGAAAGACTCTGGTGTGTCAAAGGAAGGAAGGTGACTGTAGACTGTGATGATTTTAATGACTGCAATTATTGAAGGATTATTCAACAAGCATCATAGATTTGTTTACTGCATTACTTGGAAGCTATGGGGGGCCTATTCGGCTTGGGGTTTTACCTTC